CCCTTGTTCCGCGGGCAGGCCCACTGCACGCAAGGAGTCTTTTGGTTGCAGGGGTCAAAAGAGGGGGCGAGGTCAAGTCGAGCCGAAGATTTGCAGGGATTTCGAGAGGAGCGTTGGGACGAGCTGGGGCTGCATTCCACCGTCACGATCGCGCGGTGTTGCGAGGTGGGATGGGCGCGCCAGGTCAAGACTCCGCTCAGCAGCAACGGTCTCCGCTCGGACCGCGAGCAGCTGAGTCCCACAGACGGCACGGCAGGATGCCCACACAGCGGCGGGTGTCGACCGAGCTCCTGACGATGAGGCATGGCGTTGAGTGGGAGTTGCATCCCGCGGCTCGGTTGGGGTTTCTGCGGGTCGGCTGCTGCTGTGAATGAGTCCGCCAGCGCCAGAATCGCGCCTCGCTTGGCTGATTCCTTTTTACAGATGCGTGGTGTTGAGGCTCGCTTGCCATCGTTGCCTCCCCTTGAGGCCAAGTCAGCTTTGGTTCGTAAGCTGGGAGCTTCATATCTGGCGCGCCATCGAGCCTCGAGAGGGCGGCATGAGCGGCGGCGATCCCGCACGACCACTTGGCACATGTGGAGAGCTCAGCATGTGGGATGTGCCGCGCATCTCTGCCGACTGCATATCGACTCGGCGAGCAGAGAGAGGCAGCCCATGCTCGCCACGCTCTTTCGTCACGGACGGGCGATCCGTCGTCTCGACTCTCTCAACTCAAGCCCTTCTGCTGTACTGAACAACATCAAGCTGAGCAGGAGCTGTGCAGGAGCTGAGCCGGCGTTGGCAGCCAAAGGCAGCCAAAAGCAGAGCAAGGCTAAAGCTTGCATGCGCATCCGAAGCCAATGTGTCACCCTCGCCACGAATGAATTTGCACTTTCCACAGTCACATCCGCCAAAAGCTTGCAGCGCGGCACTATCAGGCCATCACCGAGAGAAGAGAGGGTGACAAAAGCCGGCGCCGCCCCCACCACACCTCCTTGCTGCCGCTCTCCGCTCTGCACGGAATTCTTCCACTGCGAGGTCGCGACGCTTCGCAACGCTTTGGTTCAGACAACAAAGCCGTTCAGCTCGGTGGCATCCCGCTGTGCGAATCCGCGACTTCCTCTTGCTCGACTGACCCGACGCGGTAAAACGGCCGGCTCGAGCGTCACGCAGATTTCCCACTTTCACCGACCGACCGTGCATTTCGCGCCTCTCTCCCGCTCGCTTTCTCTCTCGCCCGCTCTTGGAGTCGAGGCAATTTTTCCAAGAGCCAGCCAGCCAGCCTCGTCCCTCTCTGCATGGAACATTGTGAGCCATCCTGCTCGTGCTCATCCTTCGATCCCGGCGCTCGCTCTTTGCTTCCTCGACCGCCTGCATCTTTTCCACCATCTCGCACCGCCTCTCCTCCCGTCTCGCTCGGTACAACAGCATCCTCGTGCGCAACCTCATTGCGGCGCTCCAGTGCTGCATCCTTCCGACTCGGCATCAGCGCACGCTCTCAACCATCGACGGCGCCTTGGACGAGGCGAGCACCGCACTTCCAGCTTCCTGCTAGCTTCCTGCTTCAAACAAGTAGCGAGCTGCTCGTCCGACTCGGTCTCCCTCTCGCATCGCATACGCCGCCCTCGCCGCCAGTGCGCACTCGGCTCGAGCAGACGACGACGACACCGCGGCCTGGCACCACCCGCGCTGTGGCTTCCTCCGACACCGCTTGGCACTACGAAGCCACTCCAACCAGCGCGCACAACCTGACGACCAAAACCCTCCCCCGGCTGAGGCCAGTCAACAAGTCACCATGGTGCGATCCGTCACCTTCGAGATCCGCTGGCATGACACCCAGCCCATCTACAGCTGCTCCTTCCAGCCCATCCCCGCCAACCACCTCCGGCGTGTGCTCGACCACAACATGGGTCAAGCAGCCGGCATGGCGCCAGGGAAGGGCCTCTCCGAGCTCGACTCGTCCGCCGCAGCCGCCATGACGTCCACCTCGTCCTCGCACGCCTCGGCATCCACATCCGCCGCCTCGTCTTCCAAGCTCGCCCATCCGCCCGTCATGGCCGGCGGGCAGAGTTGGAGGCTCGCAACCGCCGGAGGCGACAACAACGCACGCGTCTGGATGGTGCATCCCAACATCCCTTCGCCCGCTGCCATCGCCAGCGCCGCGGCCGTCTCGGGCTCCACCGTCGTCGCCCCGCATCCGCCGCGCGTCGAGTATCTCGCCACGCTTCAGCGCCATTCGGGCGTCGTCAACGTGGTGCGCTTCTGTCCCAAGGGCGAGCTGCTCGCCACCGCCGGCGACGACGGCAACGTGCTCTTCTGGGTGCCCAGCGACCGCAGCAAACCCAGCTTCGGCGACGTCTCCACCAACCTCGAAGGCGAGACGCAGTTCGAAAAGGAGTTCTGGCGCGTCAAGCTCATGTGCCGTGCCACCCAGCAGGAGCTCTACGACATGGCTTGGAGCCCCAACGGCGAGACGCTCGCCGTCGGCGGCACCGACTTTGTGGCGCGCATCATAAACGTCCAGGACGGCCACGTCATCCGCGAAATCTCGGAACACAACCACTACGTCCAGGGCATCGCCTGGGACCCGCTCAACGAATTCATCGCCACGCAGAGCAGCGACCGCTCCGTCCACGTCCACAATCTGCAGACGCGACGACACGGCGACCACGCCCATGGCCATGCCACCGGCACGGACGGCGTCGCCTCGTCGCAGCTCGTGAGCAAGAACGCCAAGCTCGATCTGCATCGTCGCAACGGCAGCTCTGGCGGTCTGGTGTGGGACCAGCACTACACCAAGCCCGCGCTACCCAGGCGCACCAGCAGCCATGCCAGCCAAGCGAGCGACGGCGAAG